GTCCATGTCTCACCTGTCCATGTCTCACCTGTCCATGTCTCACCTGTCCATCTCACCTGTCCATGTCTCACCTGTCCATCTCACCTGTCTCCCCTGTCCCTCTCCCCTGTCCCCAGACTCACCTGTCCCCGTACCTGTGCGCTCACCTGTGTGGGCGGGGCCCTCCTCCTCCTCCTCACACTGCACTTCCACGGTGCCGGTGAGGCCGGGGGGGCGTCCTGGGGGAGAGAGAGACAGGTGAGACACACCTGGACAGGTGAGAGACAGGTGAGAGAGGTGAGGGACAGGTGAGACACCTGGACAGGTGAGAAACAGGTGAGAGACAAATGAGACACACCTGGACAGGTGAGACAGGTGAGAGACAAATGAGACACACCTGGACAGGTGAGACAGGTGGGTCACCTGGGACACACCTGGGGGGGTTGGACACACCTGGACAGGTGAGACACACCTGGGACACACCTGGGGGGGTTGGACACACCTGGACAGGTGAGACACACCTGGGACACACCTGGGGGGTCCTGGGCACACCTGGGCACACCTGGGAGCAGCTGAGAGCACCTGGGGAGAGCAGGACAGGTGAGGCAGGGAGGGGACCCAAAATCCCCAAAATGACCCAAAAAACCCAAAATCCCCAAAATGACCCAAAATCCCCAAAATCCCCAAAATGACCCAAAAAAACCCAAATCCCCAAAATCCCAAAGTGACAGAAAATCCCCAAAATGACCCAAAAAAATCCCACAAGTGAGCCAAAATCCCGAAAATGACCCAAAATCCCCAAAGTCCCCAAAATGACCCAAAAAACCCAAAATCCACAGAGACCCAAAACACCCAAAGTGACCCAAAAATCCCCAAAATCCCCAAAATCCCAAAGTGACCCAAAATCCCCAAACCCCCAAAGTGACCCAAAGTGACCCAAAGTGACCCAAAATCCCCAAAGTGACCCAAAAAACCCCAAATCCCCAAAATGACCCAAAATCCCCAAAATGACCCAAAAATACCCAAAACCCACAGAGACCCAAAACCCCCGAAGTGACCCAAAAATCCCCAAAATGACCCAAAATCCCCAAAATCCCAAAGTGACAGAAAATCCCAAAAGTGACCCAAAATCCCCAAAATCCCCAAAATGACCCAAAATCCCCAAAATCCCAAAGTGACCCAAAATCCCCAAAATGACCCAAAATCCCCAAAATGACCCAAAATCCCCAAAACCCCAAAGTGACCCAAAATTCCCCAAACTGGGACCCCAAACTGGGACCCCAAACCCCAAACTGGGACCCCAAACCCAAACTGGGACCCCAAACTGGGACCCCAAACCCAAACTGGGACCCCAAACCCCAAACTGGGACCCCAAACTGGGACCCC